TCTTATAATATATCGTTGGAAAGCTCTTTTCAAACCCAATCCAACTACACTATTATTGGACCCTTATCATGGACCAAACTAAATTATACTAGCTATTTTCATAAATAGAGTGTAAGAACAAATATTTTCAAAAACAAAAAGAGAGATATTTTTAAAACAACCACATCACAAGACTTTTCACACTTTCACTTTGTTCGATAATCATATGACGTGAAAGGTATTTATCACTGGGTTTGGTTTTGGGGATACACACTTGGGTGTCTACACTACTCTACAAACTTTTTGATTTAGATTATGTCTTGGTTATGTGTACTTTTGGTAAATATTTTGCATACACTTTTAGGCAGTCATGTATTAAGTCAAGCATAGTTGTTTTAATTTGTGAAACTCATTTGGACATTATGAGATGAAAAATACTTTTGAACGATATATATTCCATCAGACAGGGTATTTTTTCAGTCAAAACTTTAGTAAGTGTTGGTTCCTCAACAGAAACTACAAACAGAGGTTTCAGGAGCATCCAGACCTCCCAAGTAGCTATCAGATGAGTCCTATCGATCATCATATGGAAATTAAACACAAAGATGCAACTAAGGAATAGGGGACTCATTACATCAAATACATATCATACATACTCATTACCAAGGGACTCAAATGGAAAAGAAAATCAGTTTCACAACAGCAACAACATTGCATGCTGCCTCAGCAGGGACTCTTCAGGGATGTCTCCAACAACAAACAACTGACAGCATACAAAGCACAGTTCAACAAATAAGAATTATAACCAACAACATCACACAAAAATAGAGTTCCAACAACATACGACCACAAAATAACATCCAAATCAGTATTAAACCATCAAAATCCAATAATAACATCCATCCATCTCCAGACAACCAACCTAATCCAACAAAATTTCAATTCCAACAACATACAACCAACAAAATCCAAAAATCACAACATTCCAACACCATTGAACCAACATAATCCAACTAAACAAAAATTCCAACACCATTCAACCATTAACATCCAACTGAATAACAATTCAACCAACAAAACCCAACAGTAACAGAATTCCAACACGACAGAAGAAGAAAATCAAAGTAAACATCAATTTAACATTCACAACGAACAAAATCAAATTTCCAAGTAAACACATCCAACATATTCCAACAAACCAGAGTGTACCCTACAATTATGGCAAGAAAATACGCGTTTGACAGATAATCAAAAAATTTTAGGGTTTTAGAATGTACGCTGCCCATTCAGTTAGGAGGAGGGTTGAACTGAGGGTAGTAGATCAGGATATAAGCTTTAATGACCTCACGATGTGACATCCCATCTGGAAGGCCAGATCAGACGTGTTTGAAGCCGAATGAAGGATCATCGTCTACCTCAGTTGACTCAGGTGGCTGACCCACTTCAGTAGCCTCTAGATCTATTGGGACTCCCCTGTCTCTAATCCAGCGGCAGAAACCTCAACAACAGCGTCACGAGATGCAATAGCCCCAGCAGGACCCACCACAGCCAATGGTTCAGGACCCAAGTCATCAGTCACCACCATAGTTGCATCAGTGGGTGGTTCTTCAACGTCCTTAACCTCAGGGACCACCTCAACAGGCTTCCTCTCCCTCATCACTCACATATTCGGCAAGCTTTGCACCTCGAATCCTCCTTCTGGCAATGATAGAAGCACGACGAACGAGTTTAATCATACCCGTTCCTCGATGCGCTTTGTAGGTGGTTCTTTCAAATTTCCTCTTAGATCCACTTGAACCCAACGATTCATAGCAATTAAGATCCGAAATTTTGTCATTTGGGGTACCCATTGTGAAAGTAGTAGTGAGAAAACAGAGAATGAAATAAGGGATAAAGGTGAAAACCATAATCAAAGGAGATAGAGAAAGAGAGAGAAAGAGAGAGAGAGATAGAGGAATCGACAGAGAAGGAGGAATGAGATATCTCTAGAATGAATGAACTCAACAAAACTCCCGTTTAGTTGCAAAAACGGGAACGGGGTGTTTTTTTGGGGGAAATTTTTCGTCAAAATGCAACTGATTGTTGCTGATGTCAGTGGTTCCCTAAAATTGAAAAAAAGGAAGAAAGAGAAAGCTAAAGTTCATTGTTTCAGCCAAAACTTCAAGAACAAACACCAATGAAGAACGACAAACCAAATCTCAACTAAATTAGTCGAATTTGGGAAACTCGAAAACGACAAACCAAATCTGGTAAGCACACACTTTAATTTTTTATGGTCTTTTTGTTGTTTAATTAGTCTTTTTTTAATTTAAGGATTAATTTATTAATGTATTATACTGAATTTCTAGGTTTTCTGAATTAGATTTTCGGTAATTGTTTTCTAAACTCAACAAAAATCATCAATTTCAGGTACTATATAATTAATTAGTGTTTTTGCTAGGGTTACTATATAATATTATGTCAATAATTTCTAGGGTTTGTAATAATATCATAATTTCAATTGTTTCTAGTATGAACCATGAAAATCTAAACTTAATTGTTTGGGTTTGGTTTTTGGAATAGTTCATGTGACTAGTTATTAGTTATGTGTTTGGGTTTGGTTTGGTTTACAACTTATTGTATTTGATAATCTGAACTTATTTGTTTTGCAACTATGTTAGTAGCTTTGATGGCACTAGGTGTTGCAATTTTGCATATAGTGTAGCAACAATGGTGCATAATCTGAACTAGAGTAACTGCTTTCCAGCTCATCATCGCTTTAATCATGTTAAGCTTTACAACATTGGTTGCATTGAGGTTCTTCTATTTTAGCTTTCTTTGTTGTATTAACTTGTTGAACAGCCATCACCTGCCTTAAGTTCCTTTGCAAGTACAGTGCACATTTTCCAACCAATTAATTCATATATTAGTCAAAATATGAGTAAACATATAATTTAACAGAATTTAACAAGAACTTACCCCCCATCTACCTCTACAAGTGACTTTCTTTCCCATGCTCTTTGTCAGTGTACAATAATTCAACACAAAGCAAACCTGCACATAACAAGAATAATATAATCAACCTCCAAATCTGTAAAAGATCGTAACAAGTTTGGGCTTGATGTCATACAACGTAGCAAGTTTAATTTTAACAAGAGAACGTTTCCAATACTTTGGATTTGGTTTGGTTTACAACTTATTGTCTTTGATAATCTGAACTTATTTGTTTTGCAACTATGTTAGTAGCTTTGATGGCACTAGGTGTTGCAATTTTGCATATAGTGTAGCAATAATGGTGAATGCCCAAACAAAGCATCAACAACCTGTTAAACGTATCTATGTGCTTATTATTTCAATTACATAAAACATATATGTATTGAATTTTGAATTGTGGTCAACATGCTTGTTATTTCAATTACACAAAACATGTTTGTATTGAATGTGCTTGTTATTTCAATCACATTTGATATTAAGTACTTCTACTTGATCACTTATGCTAATCGAATGTCTTATGATGCTGTTCTTTCTAATGGTGTTGTTCCTCCGGCCTTTTTGTTTGGTTTAGTAGCTACTTGTTGATCAACAAGTTTAAAAGTATCCCCTTTTTTCTTATAATTAGGTGAATCAATTGTTTATGCATCCCCTTTCCCTTTCAGAAAAGTATGTATGTTTTGATCACATATATTTATGATTTCATTATGCCTAGTATCACTAATTGAATTGCTAGCCCCACAAAAGACACATAATTTGTTCAAATCCTACATGCCAATTAAACGACAACCTTAAAATCCCTAAATTGAACTAATGAGCTAATGGTGTATGTACTTCAACCAAAGACCTAAATTTAACTAAACTGAGCTAATGCAACAACAACCCTAAATTGAACTCATTAAACTAAGCTAATGGTCCTTCTAAGGTCTTCAACTATAACCCTAGAATTAATCTAATGGTCTTTTACTATAACCCTAGAATTTCAACAACCCTAAATCAGCCAAATCCCAATTTGACAAACCCTAAATTGAACTAATGGTCTTCAACTATAACCCTAGAATTGATCTACCACAATTAAGAAGTCAGATGGAGCAATTGTAGTCCATTACAAACACAAGTGCTTCTAAATTAATCAAAGGCTTCTAAATTTAGAATTAATCAAACAAAATATACAACTAATCACTAAAATTAACACACAAATATACGAAAATGGAGTTTAGAATTCAATTGAGACTTACCTTGACCAAGAAGAGGTGAATGCTCAACTCTTTGCTCGCACTTTGTCTCTCTTTGATCGAAGTTTCTCTCTTGTTCGAACTTTCTCTCTGGTGCTCGCACTTTCTCTTTAATGCTCGAGCTTTCTCTCTCTTGTTTTACCAAAAGTGGAAAAGTGTCAGTCCAAAAAATCAAAAAGATTGCGCGTGTAATGAAATTTTCACCAATTGACCAGATTGGTAAATAAAAAAGACCTTTAGCGACAATTTGGTAAAAAAACTTACTCCGGCGACAGTTTGGTAAAAAAAAAGCTAACAAAATGCGACAATTTGGTAAAAATAATAAACTCCGGCGACATTTAGACCAAAAAATCTATTTTTTCCCGACAAACTCTTTAAAAATCCTATTTTAATTTGTTTTTGTGTTCTTAAATTTATTTTTTCCATTTAAAATTTTGAAGTTACATGTCATCCCTTTTATTTCCAACCCCTTTTGAAAAAAATTTCGTTAATAAGGGGTATGAAACTTAAGTGAAAATTGATACTTAACGTTTTTTTTCTTCAAATTGTTATTTCCGTAAAAAAGGTTGGTAAAATAACAAGAAAAATGAACTATATTAAGCATTCGCGAGTAATTTATCGGAAATTTTTGTATTTTTTGGGTTAATTGTCGCCTGATATTATTTTATTTACCAAATTGTCGCTTAAGGTTAGTTTTTTTTACCAAATTGTCGCCGGAGTAAGTTTTTTTACCAAATTGTAACTAAAGATCTTTTTTATTTACCAATCTGGTCAATTGGTCCTTTTAAGACAAAACCATTTTTGAGCAACAAATTGATGCGCACGGGTGTCAAACCAGTGCACGGCGTTGCAATGGAGGAAGACAATCAGAAAAATCTGCTTAAACAAGTGTTTGGAGGATCATCATCTTCAGATTCTGACACTGACGAACACGCTCTTCTTCTCTCACAATCAATAACAAACCCTAGTTTTATTTGGGAACGCATTGCTCCAATCAAGGGTTTATGGTTTTGCAGAGATTTTCTTTCTTCTCAACAACAATCTTCTCTTCTTTCTTCCATTCATACTGGTAATTTCTTCTCAAACTTTCGTTTTTTTAGCTTAATTTTGATTATATTATTGATTTTGTTGTTGAATTTAGATTATTAGGTTTCGAATTGCCAAAATTTAGAATGAATTGGGTAGTTTGAGATTATATCTTGATGTTGTAGAGCTTAAGGTTCCTTCAATGGTGATGGGAATTCTACAGAACATTATAGGTTTGTGAGAGAACAAATGTGAGTTTTATGGGTGTCTTTTTGGTACCCTTTTAGTTGGAAGGAAGCTATATCTATCCTGTGTTTGTGATTGTTGTTGGTTAAGTTTGCAATGATAGAATCAACTTTGTGGATTTCAATTTTCGATATGAAGGAAAGGATTGGGTAGTTTGATATTTTGTCTAATTGTTGATTCCTACATTGGTGATGAAAGTTTTATAGAACATTGTTGGGTTTGTGAAATTCAATGGATCGAATTGATTGTGAACATACGGGTACCAGTTTCTCTTCAAAGAAATGGCTTTCTGTTAAGAAAAAATGATTTCGTATGGGATTACAAACCTTTAATATTGAGATAGGGATATAGGATGTGTTATTGAGCATTGCTGGCTAGTTCTTAATAGCTATGAGTAGTTGATCTATGTGTGCTGCTGGCTAGTTCACTTGGCTTGTTTGACGAGTTGGTGTTAGTGTTAGTGTTTGTTGTTTAAGTCTATTGTATGTATTGGTTGTTTTTTCACAAATCTGATTGGTAAAATTAGTTGTTGATAATGTGCATAATATCCTACCTATGATCAATTAGAGCCCCAATCAGCCTTTCAATTTGATTATAAAGCAAAACCCAACTAAGAAACTAATTATCAAACATACCTTTTGATTATTTCACCACATAAAAAATAAAAAAAATGACAAAAAGTCTATTATTCCTCCGTCCCCAATTTTTTGTCTGCTTTGCTCCGTAGCTATTTTCTTCTTTGTTAATTTTTGGGTGAGTGCAATTAAAAAGAGACAAAAGTGGTGGAGTCAATTGTATTTTACGTGAGATTAAAGTTGTGTTCCCTTTAATGTAAAACAGAAATGGAGCAATCTCTTAGGGGATACCTTTAATGAAATATTGGGCAAACTATAAGGGATGGATGGAGTACCAAACAAGCCCATTGTCTAGTGCTTGAAGTTCTCTTTGATTGTTTTTTGTTTTCTATGCCAAATTCTTATATTCCTGAAGTTTTATTGTAGAATCCTGTCTCCAAGTTCAAGTAGCATAACAATTAACAGTGAAGAGGGAAAAAGTGATACAGTATCATTTAAATTGAAGTTCAAAAGGGGGAATAAGCATAATGTACAAACTAGAAAAACAGTTTGATACTTTGTTTCTGAGAACTCTAGTAAGCCACTTTGTGTTTCTGCTTGGCAAAGCTGAGTTGAACGTCTTGTTCTTGTACCTGATTACCTTCTCTGAATTAAGCTGAACTGTATGTGAACAAGATGACCAAAATTTTAACATCGATTGAAACTGACTCGATGCAAATTGAATTGACTTGATAATTAGTATGAACATTATTACTGTTTGAATTATTTTTTTTCTATTTTTTTTCTGACCATTTAAATTCACTACAAACTGAAATTATTCATACCTAGCTGAATGTTAAATCAAAAGAGCATAGCTCAAATTTAAGTAGTGTCTGTACAGAACCCATTCCAACTTAGTCTATGTGGAGCTTGTTGGTCATTTAACTTTTCGTTTACTTCATTAGTTATTTGTTGGCTCTAGTTATTTATAAAACAATAATTAAGAAGCAATTACTATAGCTCAAATTTATGCAGCGTCTGTCCCGAACCCATTTCAAACAAGTATTAGTGGAGCTCGTTCGTCATTATATTTTCGTCTATTTCATTAGTTATCTGTTGGCTCTAATTATTTATGAGACATTATAATTAAGAAGCAATTACTCGGTTATAAATTTTCATTTGCTCTGTTCTTTTGACGAAATAAATTCCATGATTAAGATTTGAGTTTTTTACTGCCATGATTGTATGTTTTAGGCCCTTAACTTGCCTTTCCTTCAGCCATAGCTAATGCATTGTGTTTGGTGGATTAGTATATAACTCTTTGTTGTAATTAATTTCATATAGTTACAGTTGATTTCATGTTTGCTAAAGCATAAAATTGTTTGCAGAAGGGTGGCTCACTGAAGCTGGTCACAACCAGGTACCGATCCATAAGTTTAGTTGTGTACTATTGAAAAAGATATACCTCCTTCGTTTGTTTTAGTTGACACATTTTGACTTTGGGCACTATTAACATAATTCATTTTGACTTATGTTTGGTCTTGTTAGATTCATGTCATTGTATTTTTTTCAAGTTAAAACTTATTTTTTCTTATTGATGATTGAAGATATTAATTTTTGAAATAACACATTGGCAAACGTGCCTAAAGAAATTTGTCAACTAAATGGAATGGAGGAAGTATGTCTCTATTCAAATTTATCCATCTTCTATTTCAGACCAAAATCATACAACTTCCATGATGTTTACTGTTGGTAGTTTTTTCTTTTTCTAAATGCTTTATTTTAATAGAAATGTATGGCAATACTTTTCTACCTACGAGGCTGGATCCTGGTAGAACCGTAGAAGAGAAAGCTGGCTCTTCAAAGCAAATCTTTTCTTGAACCTTCAGCCTATCCTCCCTGGATCTTTTTTTACCTCTCTCTCTCTCTCTCTCTCTCTCTTTTTTTTTTTTTTTTTTTTTTTTTTCTCTCTAAAGCTTCATTTTGTTAACTATTTTTCTTGTGAATTGTGTTGATGTTTGGGGGAATCTACTGACTGTGACTTCTGAGTATTAGACAAATAGTCTACTTGAGCAAGTAGATTTCTTGAGTGTTTTCTTTTGCTGTTATCGTTGTTGTCAAATTGTATGAGGTCCAAGAAAAGAATAGGAATGAATTGAATCTTCATTGTTAGTTGCCCAATCTATTTGGTAAAAATTATCTGAACACTGAAAGCAAAGAAGTGTACTGTAAAATTTTGATGTGTAATAGCGTAAAAGCTATGAAATATTGAAATCAACTGTCTTAGGAAAGCATGATGATCTCTGAAAATTTTGAATGTCTGTTTCAGTCAGAATATTATGTCTGTAATGGTCTGAAGGGAAGGAGTGGGATGTGATGTGTTTCTGTCTTATTTGTTAAATGCCTTTTTTCTTGCTTCATATTTATTTCCCATATATCTGCTCAATCACTGATGAAAATTTAACGTAACTTTCTCAGTGCAGGCAATGAGATTTGGGGACCTTCCTTTTTGGGCACTTGATCTTTCTGATCTAATACATGAAGCGGTCTGTTTTGGTGATATGGAAGCAAATAGTGAAAATCTGAATCTTGATAGTGAAGCCTATGTATTGCCTTCTCAGTTGCTGTCTAGAGATCCATTTTTTGATCAACTTATTGTAAATGTATACCAGCCAGGTGAGGTGCGATTTGGTTACGTTGCTTTATTGATTATTGATTACTAACAAGCCTCTTTTATCCATATGAAAAGTAATTTTGTGAACTGAGTCACTCGTATCATTCATATGCTTGTTGGTCCTAACTTTCATATTCACATGGCCATGTTATTATGGTTTAGTGCCAGGATTTATCTGATTAGTTTGCTTGTGATCAGTCCCAGTTTTGTCACCTTATGATGGAATTTGACAATTCTTTGAGATATCTTGATCCCTCCTTTGAAGGGAATTGAAGTTGATAGGTAATGGTGCAATATTGATGATAATCTGGTTTTATCAAATCCTGCTTCATTTAAATCCTGTTTTATTGACTAGATAAAGAACGTTATTAGCAAGATAAGTTCAAATTCTTGCATACTTCTAGTCCACATCAAATGAATTGCACAAATTGACAATTTAATGATGACATTACTCACATCATAACATCATGCTATTAGTTTTTACAGAATTTACGAAGTTTGTAGCTGTGAAAGCATGGGCACATACTTTGAAACATTCTCTTGATGTATAAAAGTCTAATATATGCTAAGAATCATGCAGGGTATCTGTGCTCATGTTGATCTGATGCGATTTGAAGACGGGATAGCTATAGTCTCTTTGGAGTCTTCCTGTGTCATGCACTTTTCACCAGAAGAAGGGAATGGAGAAGTTCCATTAGCTACGAAAATCCCTGTATACCTAACCCCGGGGTCTTTAGTTATCATGTGGGGGGATGCTCGCTATCATTGGAAGCATGAGATAAATCGCAAACCGGAATTTCAGGTTTGGCAAGGACAAGAAATAGATCAGAAAAGGAGGACTTCCATAACTCTAAGGAAGCTCTGTTTTTCTGAATAATTCAGATATGGTAATGAACATATAACTCACTGATTAATGTGAAACTTTGATTCAGAGGGTTGATAATGAGCGTATAAATCACAGATATGTGAAACTTCAATTCAGACTAAATTTTGACCTTATATTGACACCCTTTTTTTTTTTTTTTTTTTTTTTTTTTTTTTTTTTTTTTTTTTTGAAAGATCTGAATTTTTGTAGAATAAAACCCTCATTTGTTCTTGAGTTCAGATTCTAATTTTTATTCAATTTCTTTATCAATTAAATACTCCATCCGTCCTTAAATTACATTCCTCTTTCTCTCAATTATGCGAGGAATAAATGCTAGAAAGATGAATGTAATTTAGGGATGGAGGGAGTAAGGAACAAATCTATTATTCATTTGTTATTGGCTTGAAAACTAGCAGTTCTAGACTTCTAGTAGTTGACTCAATTCTTCCGAACAGATTTTCATTGTTAAGAAAAGGTAACAAAGATAAAATACGAGCTTATAGTAATAAATAGTAGTTGTTCAAGGTCAATCTATTCACTTGCCTAGATAAAACTTTAATTTTCATTGTTCACTACTAATCGACTAATTAAACTCGTGTCTCTATAATTGGAGGCTAACTCTTAGGAAAAGATTGCTATATCGTGTCTCCAATTTCTTGTTCTCAAAAAAAAATCCTATTTCTTAATTTGAATGTTTTTTAGGTCTAGTCAAAATAGGTTTTTTTTTTTTTTTTTTATTTCTATTTTTTATATTATACGGAGTATATAAATTATAATAATAATGATGAAATATTAAATTTGGAAATACATTATCTAGTAAATATTGTAGCGTAGATTTGCTTAAACAAATACTGATTAACATAGCCTAAGAACCACCTCATTGAGTCCCCCTAAACCTCAAATTACATACAACAACCTTAGACATTGTTTGGACCAATAATGACCAATAATATACGAAGTAATACATATTTTTACCAATTGCTTATACACAATATCCAAATTAGATATTATAAACTTTATATTATTGGAGATTGGGAGTGTAGTAGTAGATTTATCCTCGATACCATTAGTGTAGTTAGTTGATACATAGTATTTTGTATTTTGTCCGTATTTAATAAAAGCTAAACTTGGTAAAAAAAATTACTCACCTAAACTTTCCTTACTTAATCTATTATGATAGAATTTTAGATTATGTTAAATCCTTAATCTTGTAGGAAACACAAAGCATATTATATATACCCATGTATATCATGCATAAACGTTCATTTAACACCTACAGTTCACAAATTATCTTAGCTACACCATATTATTCTTTTCTCTTAAAGCTTAACCTTAAACAAAACAATGGCTTCATCATCTGATCTTGTCGAAACTCAACCAAAGATTGATGATCTTAAACCGAAATTTCCCTATAATCGAAACTTGGAAGAGTCATGGAACTTATGGTCGTGTGATCAAAGTTTGTACTTTCCACGCAATACGTCTCAAGTAGCCGTAGACGACCACGTTAAGCGTTACTTCACTAATGGTATTGAGGATAAAGTCGTCTGTCCTTTCACTTCCTTTGATATGCTAGTACAGAATTTCGCAAATACGATTAACGGCTTTGTCTCTAGACTTGATGATGCCGCCTTGATGAAAAGAGAAGTCGAAAAGAATGTGGTTGATCAAAGTGGTCTAGAATTTGAAGAAAGTTACGAAAATAGTTGTACGGATGAAAGCAAGAACGAGGAGGCAAAGTGTTTGAATGAAGATTCTAATAATGCACCATTGAAGAACAACCAGGAAGAGGAAAAGATTATGGTTATTAATCAAAGCCGTCAAGAATGTCATGGATGTCTTTACGACGATAATCACACGGATGGAAGCGAGAATGAGAGGTGTTGTTACAAGGATTGGTTGGTTTATCATGATAATTAAGTACTACATTAGTTTCTTGAATTGTCATTTAGTTCAAGATTATCTATGTTTTATTAGAACTTTGTTATAGTATTATATTTTATCAAATGAAGGGATTTGCATGATATTATGATGTAGAATAATGTGTTTTATTATTGCTTAAGTTTATCAATTTTGTAAGGAGAGTTCTTCACTTCTGCGGGCTATATGGATGCTTAATTATTTCCTTTGTCTCTCTTATACGGAGTAATATTATTACAGCATATTTTATCAAACGAAATCGTTAAGTGTTTTTTTTTTATTATTATTATTTTGGAACAAAAGTTTATTTCATTAGATTCGTAAAGCAAGTATTTTTAGTGTTGGTAACTCTTCAATGATATGCGTGGATACACCGGAAAGCAAGTAATATTGGAGTGTATTATTATCGATTATATATTGATTAGAGGATTTGCAAGATATTATGATATAGGATGTGTTTGATTAATTATTGCTTAATTTCGTTTTTTTAACTCGTATTTGAGTTGTATTAGTTTAATTAATTTAATACTTTTGGTCCTCTGTTTTTATTAACTTTTTTTATTTATTTATTTATTTATTTGATTTGATTTTATTTATTTATTTTGTTTACATATAACACTTCTTCATTCATGCTTTTCATTGTCCATCAATGCATTATTTTCATCGCTAATATTTAATACGGAGTAACCAATATGTGAAAATAATGAAAATTTAATTTGATATTGAAAGTTCAATTCAAGTCAAAATTAATATGATCCCACAACATGATTAGATTTCCCTTAAATATAAATTAAAAAAAGCCTAATTATTACAGTAAGCAAAATAGAGAAAGGTAATAGATAAATAATATAATAGAGTTAGAGTTTGATTAAATTACTAGCGAGATTATCAAGTATATATTTTATTATATATACGGAGTAAATAAAGTTAAGAGCATGGTTTTTTTTTTTTTGTTTTTTTTTTTTTTTTTTTTTTTTGCAACACTCCTTAATTAGTAAGGACTCACTAAGACAATGTTTAGTTCACCTTATTTCAAAATCATACTCCGTATGATTTATTTTTTATTAGATTGGACAAAATAACTCTTAAACATAATTAATTGTTGTATGTAAAAATTTTTATCAGTACATAAATATCTTTAATATCGTGATAAAATTAATATAAAATCTAATAAAATCCTATTATATATATACACAATTATACAAATCTAATTAAATCTTATCATATCATATCATATAACTAATATATAAAGCTAAACTTTTAGTCAGGTCACGAGACAACGACACTTGACGTTCCAACTTTTCGCCAAGTGTCGTGTCACATTGGATATATTTAAATAGAAATTGTAAGATAAATAAAAAAGTTAGTTTAGAATTCTATTTGGATAGAATTTTAAGATAAAATTGCTATTTTAGAGTTTTATTTTCGATAAAATACAACTGAATTATAATTTTATTTACAAAAACTATTAGATTATTATTTTCAAAAATTATCATATAAATTTATTTTTTATATCATAATATTTTTCGGAGCGAAGGAAGTAGTTTAAAGTGTAAACCATACATATATAATACATACTAAATAATATACTTCACAATCTAATAGAATTTTATCACTGTGTAGACCTGTCAATTAGGTTTAGGTCATGTGTCATCTCGGTTGGATCACTTCAGGCTACGAGTCAAGAAATGTTCAACCCATGCCCAAAGTTTTGGGTTTGGGTCAACCCAACGGGTTTTTAACATTTATTTTATTTAATGTATTTATTTGCTAATTTTTTTTATTTTTTTAATATATTAAATCGAACATTTTCACCAACATTATTTTTAGTCATAACATGCCTACTAGATAACAAATCGTTATAAAAGCACATTAATTCATAACTAAGTGCATGTTCTCTTACGTTGAAATTTAGTTCACTTAAACTCAGTTCAGCTCAATTCATTTCAGTTCAGCTGAGTTCAGTCAATGAGAACAGACCCTAATTTTGTATCAATGATATATTTAAAATTTGATATATAGATTATGAATTTATCTTAAAATTCAATAAACAACCCAGGCATCGCATGGGGCACAAAACTTAAAATTCATAACTAATTTTAGCCAGGCGATGAGGCAGCGACACTTGGTGTTCCAACTTTTCGCCAATTGTCGTGCTATGTAAGATAGAGTTATATCGAATTCAATTTGTAGGATAAAAAAAGTTAGTTTAGAATTTTATTTTCAATCAAATTTTGATAGAATTTTAGGATAAAATTGTTAATTTAGAGTTTTATTTTTTATAAAGTACCAATATTTCATAGATACAAATTGAATTATAATTTTATTAAAAAAATAATTACATTATAACTCTCATAAATTATCGTATAAATTTATTTTTTGTATTATAATATTTTTCTGGAGTGAAGGAATTAGTTCAAAATGTACCACATCCATTGTTTATAATATATTTTAATCAAAGGTCGGGTCACCAGTTATTTCAGGCAGGGTTATTATTTCAGGTTACGAGTCAAGAAATATTTTCACCAATATTATTATTATTAGTCATTACATATCTACAAGTTTAAATCGTCACAAAAACACATCAATTCCTAACTAATTTTGTATCAATGATATGTTTTAAAATTTGACATATAGATTAAAAATATATTTTAAAATTCAATAAATAACCTGGGCATCGCACGGGGCACAAAACTAGTAACTTATATATAAAGGTAAACTTTTAGTCAGGTCATGAGATAGCGACACTTGGCATTCTAACTTTTCACCAAGTGTCGTGCCACGTTGGATATACTTAGATAGATTTCATAAGATAAATTAATTAGTTTAGATTTCTATTTTCAATGAAATTTGGATAGAATTTTAGAATAAAATTGTTAGTTGAGAGTTTTATTTTGGATAAAATACCAATATTTCAATAGTTATGAATGTTAAGAAAATAATGCAAATTTTCTATTTAATCAAATTTGAGGGAGAAATAAATTACATAAACAAAATGTCTATTTATACCAAAGTGCAAAAAACACAACCCCTCTTTTCTCTGAGTTATTTTTCTTCTCTCAGATTTTCTCTTGAAATTATTACATACAAATGAAGGAAATGCTCAATTTATAGTTTTCCTAAAACAACCTAAGCCATTTAAAATTTAGCCTGCAATATTTATTACCATTAGTTATTTTTCCCTATATTTGGAAACACCTTTAATTTTCAATGGTAATGC